TGATCAACCAGAGATAAAGTTGTGATGGCAAATTATTATTGATGGATTTTTTTTTCAACTCATCAGTTGGAAGTAATTTACCATTCAGAACATAATTTGGCTGAGCCAACAGTTTTAATTTACTCAAAAAAAATCTTTTCCCTCGGCTTCCAGCACTTCTCCATTAGCACAACAAAGATATTTTTTCTGGTATACCTAGTTCTTTGCTAAATGGCCATGTTTTTTTAACATTCATATTAATATATATTTGATTTATCAGATGTTTCTTAAAAATCCATATACAGTCAATCCTTGTCACAATGGATTTTGAATAAAACTTTCTTATGTGTTCCATTCATCCATTGTGACAAGTATGTCTTTTATTAGTATTATTATTAGGGGACAAATTTTCAGGTACAAACATGTCTGTTAAATTGAGACTCACTGTGTTTTCCCTTAAAAATTCATTATCTCCAAATAAATACTCCATTCATTGATCAATTTATCTTCTGGACTTGTAAATTCCTTGATATATGAATATGAAGAAGCCCTAATAAATTTTGGATTAAAGTATTATTCTTTAAAAGTGGTATGCTGAATGTCTATTGACGTGTTTACAAAGGCTTGAGAAAATGTTGGTATTAAAAGATTCTTCTGATCCATTTTGAATTCTACATGCTTTGATTTAAAGGAGGATTTTCAATGCTAGAATTTTGTACTTCTAATTTTTTTTTTTTTTATGAGAATTACTTTCTAATTGGTTATTAATTGTTAACTTTCATTTATGGTCTACAAGCAATACAAAATAATTTTGTCCCATTAGCATAAAAATCATTTTTTTCTTTTACTCTCTGGAAAGCAGAATTGTCTTTTCACAATGACAAAAAAAAACAGATATCCCTATAGAAAATTTATTTATGGAAGTTCCTTACACTTGTAATAATTATTTGTAAGGAATAATCCTTTAATAATGTATGTAAAATTTTCCAGAAATGTGTATGTGATGTAAGGAAAAATGCATTTTTACGTACATGGGAAAAAACCTATAAATTTTATAAATAATGAGATTGTACTAAAAAACGTACTCAATGTATGAAGCAAACGTACTCAATGTAATAAAGAAGCATACTCAATGTACGGAGTAAACATACTCAATGTAGGAAAGAAACATACTCAATGTAAGAATTAATGTACCCAATGTAAGAATTAACGTACTCAATGTAAGAAGTAAATGTACTCAATGCAAGAAAGAAACATACTCAATGTACGTAGTAAACATACTTGATGTATGGAGTAAACATACTCAATGTAAGAAAGAAACATACTCAATGTAAGAAGTAAATGTATTTAATGCAAGGAGTAAATGTACTTGATGTAAGGAGTAAATGTACTTAATGTATAAAAATTATTTTTTTAATTCAAATGTTTTTATTACAATTTCTTTTTAGTCTGGTATTTTTATTTTCTTTCTTTGCTGGTGATTTTTTGGATTTTTTCCTTGGTGGAGATTTATCTTTAGGCTTTCTTTTATTGGATCCTAAACAATGCAAGTAATTTAATTAATTAATTAATATTATTATAATTGAAAAATTATAATCATGATGAAATTGTGAATCATTTAACCACATATTTTTTTTTGAAAAAGAAAATAAGTAATAATATATATATTAATATTAATTTTTGTTGCATAATAATATTGTTCACCTATATTAATATATATAATAATATATTATTATTTTTTCCACTAAATCTGTTTTTTTTTTGAAAAGAAAAGTAATTAATATTATAATAATATATATAATGATTTTCTTTTTTTTTCCTTACTATGATACACAACAATTAAGGGAAAAAAAATCATTATATATATTGTTATTATTATATTATTTTAATTACATTTCTTTTTCAAAAAAAAAACAGATCTAATGAACACTTATTATGCAATTAGCAAGGAAAAAAAATAAAATCATTATATTATATTATTACATTATTACATTATATTACATTATTATTTTAATTACTTTTCTTTTTCAAAAAAAAAAAAAAGGATCTAATGAACACTTATTACATGATTAGTAAGGAAAAAAAGAAAATCATTATATATATTATTATTATATTACATTATATAATATTAATTACTTTTCTTTTCAAAAAAAAAACAGATCTTGTTATGCGGCTAGTAAGGAAAAAAAAGAAAATCATTATATATATTACAGTCAGGGATATTTCCATATCGGGATTCGTTTCCAGAATAGTCTGCTGATCAATTCATTATATGTTACAAATGAATTCACAAGATACTTCTTGTTACATCTATGTTACATTTTATAAAAATAAATCAGTTTATAATAATTGAAAGTAATAGTAATACTATTAAACTTGCTCTTTCATAATCTGTTAATAATCTGTAATAATCTGTTGATTTGTTCAAAGTACGTTTTTACTAAAATTAGAAATTTATGACTAGAATTTAATTTTTAGACCATTATGTTTGTATTGTTTGCATGAAGATATTGCAAACAAATATCCAGAAAGCCAGCTGACCCCATGTTGGTGCAAATCTTATTATTAAGTATATTACTATATTTATTAATTTGTTAATAACAATATACTTTTATTTAGGTTTTATTATTTATTTATTTAAAGGTAGTTTAAGGATACCGACTGCAACTTTGATGATGGTTGTAACCACCTTTACATCATATACAAATGATTGCAACACCTAGT